CCTGGCACATATCGGGCAAGCAATTTTCTGCTATTATCAGAACAAACTCAATTTCTAATGAAGGTGACACCTATGAATTCCTTCCAGGACTCCCAGCCTGCTTCAGCCTGAAATGACAGCCAACAAAGAACGATAAGCTGCACAGAAACATCAGATATGCCTGTTTCCTGATAGCCGGGGGCAAATATTTTCATGGATGTCATTCTTGGTGCTTTCCAACAGCGTGATTTTTATCTTCACCAACTCCTCAAAACTCCCCGAAATTTCCTGATCTGCCCTGAATATTCCCACCCTGCTGTGACCTCCATAGCCTGTTAGCAGAAGGCCTGACGGTTTTAATCTGTCACCGAGCACTGCTGGAACAAAAGTCTTACCGTTTTTATAGCTGTGATAAAGTCCAAGGCCTCTTCTCCTAAATTAGGCTGTAAAAAGCCGAATCGCTTCTCGTAGAGGACCAGGCAGATACCTGAGAAGTAAACGCAGACGGATCTGTAAATTGTCGTGTTAACGTGGAGTGGCGTGCCTACTAATAATCATCAAGCAAATGCATGCTAAAGTCGATCAATGCAGCCCAATGGCTTGTCGATGTATATCATTTTTTTTAAGTGGACCTGTCATTGGATTTTTATGTTAAGTGTAGCATGCTAAGTATGTAATGTATCTATTATCAGTCTACCGGTCACGTCTGACTCATAGAAAGCAATGTACTCCATAAGAGACTGACTAGCTTATCTATGTAGTTTCTAGACAGGGAGGTGTGTGATTGTAGTGAAATACAGATAGAGATCACAGAAAGCATGTACATATTTGTATACAGGTGAAACTCGAATAATTAGAATATTGTGCAAAAGTAATTGCAGTAAGTGCTGCAAAAGGGGCCCAAACCAAGTACTGAGTACATATGCATGCTTGTACTTTTCAGAGGTCCGATATTGTGTTATAAAAAAATACCTGCCCCCCCTTCTAAAAATGCGAATCACTGGGCTGTCATCCTGAATCTCTAACTACTAAGTGAGATCCCAACCCAGAGCAAGTATGCAGGCTTGGAGTTCTGCCATCGTAAGCCTTATTCTTGCCCTGATTGAAGAATTAAAAGGCAGATTGTCAACACGACAGCCAGTAAACTAGTATTTGGACCTAGAACAGCACGGTGACTCCTCTCATGACAGGTCCTCTTCCTCAGCATTGCTAAATATTCAAACGTAGAAGGAAACTCACTCTCCAGGGACCACTTATTCAGCTCACAATACAAGTCTTCAATCTTCTTCTCCGGAGTGAGCACGCTGTCCATTCTCTGCACAAAATCCACCATCACCTGTAAAGGAAATACATACAATGTTTAGGCTCGGACAGTCTACAATGTATCACATCTCAGAAATCTGAATTCCTCCCATTGGGCCAGGCAGCCCCTGTGCCATCTATGTAATACATGTCTATCCATGAGAGTCTAGACTGATGTCTGCAGCTGTCTGAGTACCCTGAACCAATCCCAACACTGGAGAGATCTGCCATTATTATAATTGGTGCTCCCATATTGTCTCCTCCTTCCCTATAACTTCTATACTTTTCTTCTTTCTCTGTCTGCCTGTCTGTATCTCTCATTCCCTCTCTCCTTTCTTCTCCTGTCCCTCTCTTTCTCTTCTCCTGTCTGTTTCTCTCCATCTCGCTCTTCTCTCTCTCCTCTCCATCTTCTCTCTTACTCTTCTCCTGTCTCTCTTCTCTTTCCTGTCCCCTTTTCTTCTCCCCCTCTCTCCCCATCTCTCTCCTCTTTCTACCTCTGCATCTCCTCTGTCTCTTTCTCGCTCCTCTACTTCTACTCTCTTCTATCCATCTCTCTTTCTCCTTGCTCTCTCTCTCTCTCTATCCTTTCTCACTCCTCTTTCTTTCCCTCTCTCTCCTCCTCTCCCCTCCCTCTTTCTTCCTCTCCTCTCCCACGTTCTCCTCTCTCTCTCTCTCACTCATCTTTTTCCTCTCCCCCTCTCTCCTCTCCCCTCTCCCTCCCTCTCTTCTCCCTCTCTCTCCCCCCTCTACTTCTCTCTCGCTCTTTCCCCCCTCTCTCTTTCCCCGTCTCCCTTTCGCTCTCCCCGTCTCTCCCCTTCGCTATTCCCGTCTCTCCCCTTCACTCTCCCCGTCTCTCTCTCTCGCTCTCCCCGTCTCTCTCTCGCTCTCTCTCCCTCTCCCCCCCACTAACTCTCTCAGTAGCCCAAGTAGCGTTATCCATGCATATTAAGCACCTCGGTGTAATTACCTCATTGATTTTGGTGTCTAATTTTCCTACTTCTGTCGGCTTCATTAACTTTTGTTGAAAGGCGCTTCGAACTCGCTGCCAGTCCTTCCCTTCCCTGTACAAGGACATAAACGAATTAGCTCAACAAACACCCGGTACACAATACCAAGAGACACACCGCGATCCTTTTTTTTTTCTACATTGTGTTTGCTGATATATACATTAAGACAGGTATCTGTGCAGACAACCCAGACTGCCCCGGGTACAGTGAGCATACTGTAGGGCAGTCCTCTGTTATTAATGCACAAACAATGTATAAATGTTCCTTCCAGGGTATAGCTGGGCAAATGCTGATTGCTATGCATCCCCGCCACTAGATGGAGCTGAGGAGCATAAGAATCAAGTCTTTTGAGGGTCTCTGTTGTTAAATTCTGCCGTCAGCTTAGATGTAAATGGTCTTCAATCTTTCTCGAAGGCTGAATTTATTTTTAGGACACACTTTAAATAGAACTTGCCAATTAGAGTTGTTGGGATTCAATGGCGATACTGACGGGTGAAATGAATGAAGCGTATGATTCATCCGCACCCCCTCCCTGGGTCACACTACAGGGTGCCGCGTTTTACCAGACCGACAAGAAAACAGTCTGGCCTGGGGCGGAATCAATCACGGAGTCTGGAAATAGCTCTACATCCCAACAAACAAAAACGAGGGCCACGCCTGTCTAATTTACGACGCTTCCTCGAGAAAACCGCAACATCTCGCTCACAAAGTGCCAGGTTCATATTTTAGCCACTCGGTGGCGCACGTCGCTCTGCCCTGCTTACGTGACTCCCGGGCCCCCACCGTCCAAACAATGACCCCATGGACAGCTGGGATAGGCCGTAAGCGCCTGCCCCGCTTGACATCTCTATTCACGAAACGCCACGCCATCTGCAAATATTTTTTATAGGGCCTCAGCTATTTATAACGTTCTCAACTGTCTCTATCTGATCAAAATGTTTATGCCACCACTGAGCATACAGAGCATCTCTTCTGGCGGTGACATCCAGCATGTGAGTAGGCAGGTGGACCAAGCAGAACCTCAACTCTTCCACTTTCACCCAAAGACTTTAATGAGCAAAATCACATTAACTGATCATGCCGTTATCACTCATGCACCAATAAATCCAGAGTTTTAAGGCTGTATGCCCAGGGTCGCATGGACGATATTTAAAGAACAGCTATGGGCATTAAAACAAATTAACCCTTGCACTGCAAGGGTTAAGTGCTCATTTTGGTCTAGGGTGTATGATAAAAAAAGATATTCTCACCGGATCCTTGATCCTGCATGGCTGCTGGACCGGTCCCCACAGCCTCTTCTCCCCCGGGCTTCTAAGTCGCGCCGACATCATCACGTCCATTGACTTGCACTGGTGTGAGGACGCCGAGCGACATTCCTCAGCCAGGGCAGAGGGTGGAGAGGTGAGCGGTCACTGCTGCAGGACTGAGGATCAGGCGAGTTCTTTTTTTTTTTTTTTTTTTTTTCTCC